ATTAGCACTTTTTTAGTTATTATTAGTACATAATTTATTTCTTTTGAGATTAATTCTTTCACTTAAATTAAGAATTTACGATGTTAATTTTTAATTTGCAGTTGAACATAAATATATAAATATATTTTGCTCGACAAGGGAATATATATCGAATATTATTCGATCTTCAGGGAAATTTTCAATGCGCATACTGTTCATACAAAATTATATAGGTCGCTGTTTTTATTAATATATACCGCATATTAACGTTACAATTAATGCGCGATGGTAATGAATTAATCACGCGTGCTGTTAAACGTACGTTTACACACGTTCGTTTCAATGATCATTAAGCACCATTAAAATGTAACAAATGTTAACTAACAATCAGAACGGGTGGAAATATTCGGAAAATTTTATGCAAAATTCACAAATATTATTTTCATCGTCTGATACCATTGATACGATTTTGCAATTTTTTTCGAAGATTCCTGGAGCTGCGGCAAAACAATACGGATGAAAAGTCTCGCACGCTCTTTTGGCATCGAACAACAACGGAATTGAGCAACGCAAAATTCCACGTGTCGTGTACGAGTTACGGGACGCGCGTCCCATGTCCCATGTGTGCATCGACGCGATGGTTTTATGTGTTAAAATTCGCAACCACACGTGCACTGAATGCAATACCATCACAACCCTGTCGCTCGTAAATGCACTCCGCACGGATTATCACACATGGCGACAATCCTTTTTTTCTCCGTTGAGAGACAGACCATGCACGAAAGTACAAGAGAAGAGCGTCTCGTTGAATTTATGCCGGTCGTCTGTAAACCGCGCTGGCTGAAACCGGCAAAACGGTCTAGCCTAACATAGAGACTATATCAAATTCTGGAAAAAACAAGAGTGAAAAAGAAAGATGTGCATACTGTTTCTTTTTAGAATTGCTATCTCGTTTCGACTGAAATTATCTTACTCATTTTAATTTATTAAAGTTGAAAACGAAGTCCAATAAAAAATTTGTCATCTCGTGGCCAGACTCTGTTAAGCCGTAATCATATTACGGGTTGCTGGTTATGGTTCCCGGTTAACGGTTCTATTTTAGCCAATCACGTTGCAGTTAATCTGTATTAGCTGCATCGTGATTGGCTAAAATAGAACTGTCAATCGGCAATCTGTAGTATAATTACGGCTTTATTAGGGTCTTTAGCCTGGCGCAACAACGATATGATGATCCTTAAAACGCTATCGATATTGAGTGATACAATATTGCTATTACGTAATGCATAATGCATTATGTAAATACATCCGAGAAAATAGGCCACTCTTAACTGAATCGGTGAGTGTCGAAATGCATGCAAAAAGAAGAGTACAATTTTAAAAATATGTTTTTTCTCATTGATTTTGAAATAATAATCCATAAGTACGCTTTTAGGGCAAATTAAGAATTAAAATTATTAGGAATAAATTCAGAGGCAAAGAATATGATTTTTCATCCTAGTTTAACTTTTTCTTAACTCCTCATATTTAATTCCATTTTCCTTGTTTTGTTCATTATGTCTGAGTCTGTACTTTATTGAATGGAAACTTCTTGTTTTGTATATATTTATTCTCAACGCTGCGCTATGTTAACAAGTTGTGTGTTATAGGATAGAAAAGGTAAAATTTAAACAACAGAATTTTTAGTTTAAGCGTAGTACGGGTATATTTTTTTTGTAAAAAAACATTCTTTTGCGATAAAAAGAATCTGTATTTTGTACATTCACGGAAGTATCTCATTATCATAAAAGTTCTGTAACGGAACCTATCCTCTAGTATAAACAACAGTAAAAAGATATAATTATTTACTGACTATTCAATCATATATTGTAAATAATACAAAGCTGCTTAAAAATTGAAATCATTTATCACGCTCTCTGTTATTAAGACTGACCAGGAGATTCAAATTGATATATAATAGACTGAATTTTTAAAAGCTTATCTCCGCTTGTTCTAACTATTAACATAGCAGATTAGACAGACCTCTTGATGATCACTGAAGACATAGCTCAATGACCTCGCTTATTTGCACGTCAAATTTACGTATATCACCGCGTTCTAGGATTAAGAGTGTGATCCAAAGATGATCGAGTTAATCGCGGATTTTATGTTAAATCGAGCTTTGATAAAATTTACGCTAAGATGACGTCGCAGCATGACATGTAACCGAATACCTTCGACAAGATTAGTGCTGGAATAATCCACAATGCTTTGTAGCAAAATTATAAAATTATGCAAGTTCGTTATTACAACGTTGAAATTACGTAATTATGGAACGGTGCGTTTTTGGAACACACGCGCGGCAGTGCCATGCAGCTATGAGATGTACGATCCCATTAAAACTTTAAATTACGTTACGTATGCCGAAAAGGCAAATTTCTACTACACTGGTGTTCTTGGCAAAACGTACTATTATTTCGCGAAATATTTCCCGATGCGCGCGGCCGCCGGATGTTTACAAATTTACCGCCGCCGCCGTCGAATGAGAAGCCCAGGCTGGCGCGAAATTTTACGGGTGACAATGACGACGTCGAGCGGTTTGTCGTCCCGAAAGTGTCTGTCACTGGGCGCAGCTGCATTCGTTGCGATCGTAAATAATAGCCGTACTTGGAGTATATATGTCAGAGTAGACGACGACACAAACATCTCTTACGCCTATACTAAAAGCCCGTGAAAATATCCACGCCTAATTATTGCACGTAAATGACTTCCTCGGCGGCACATAGACGCCCTTAGATCTTGTTTCTCGAACGATCTTAAGCGAATTTACGTGTTTTCACGATATATAGTGGAACTACCTTCCAAGATTATTTCTCGCGCGCGATAAATCATGAATGCCTGCCTTTTGATTTCAGTGTACGTCGTCTCCTTTTTAATTTCCAGATAATCCCCGGTCTAGTTTCATATTTAAAACTCTATAAGTCGTAAGTCTAGATTGACCGATGGAAAGATAGTAAATGCGCGGCTAAGCTTCTTTTAATATCTACCTACATAATTATACGTGCAATAAAGTAAATAATAGATTAATAACAATTTATATTATAAATTTTTACAAGAAGGGAGATAGAGGGAGAAGAAAAGAAACAGAAGAAAGTTTAAAATGATCAGCTAAAATTAACCGATATAAAAATAGTGAATATGATTAAACTGGATGTTTATAATATGTTTACCGTATGCATTATTGTAGGTATGATACATTTGTAAACAGTAAGTAGTAAAATAATAATTTATAAATTTTTACAAGACAGGAAATAGAGAGATAGATAGATATCGTTATTTATTACGCGTTCAAGGATTGCATCCTCTAAAACGCCGAGAGAGAGAGAGGGGGGGAGAGGGAGAGGAGAGTTTAAAAATCTCCAGTTAAGACCAACAAATATAAAGATCGTGAACGTGCTATTACGCTGGATTTATAATATATGTTCATCGTATGCATAATTATATGATATGTTTGTATTTAAATAGTAGAATAACAATGTACAATTTATAAATTTTTACAGAAAGGGGGTGAGAGAGAAAAATAGAGGAAAGTTTAAAACTCCAGCTAAGATTAAGCGATATAAAGATAGTAAATGCGTGGTTAAGCTGGTATAATACATGTTTATCGTGTACATAATTATACGACACATTTGTAAATAGTGCAATAACAATTACAATTTATATCGTGAATTTTTGCTAGAGGTGGGTTTTAACCGTGGAAACAAGGGAATAAATTCGGTTCTCGTTGCTCTCTCTCTCTCTCTCTCTCTGTGCGGGAGTAATAAATCGTCGAATTAAGGATTATACGTTGAGTGTGTAACAGGTTCTACGCAACAATCTCTGTGTGACTGCTCTGCCGGCACGGTGAAAGAGGATTTGCTCATCTCTCTCGGTGTCTCGTGCACCCTCGCGATCGGGGCAGATTTGAAGCGCGACACTTCCCCGCGCGGCTTGTAGCACGCGCGAATACACTGCGAGCGCAGGTGTACAGCAAGCGGATTACAGGCAATAAAAGTGCAGTAAAGTCCGTTTTGTAGCTACATCTGTAGTGTGTATGATGGACGCGGCGTCTTTCGAAATGTGAGCGCGAACTCTTAGCCATGAAAATTTAATCGCGAAGAGTTCATGATAGTCTACCACTTGAATGAGTATCTCACAATAATTATAAGTATAATTATAGGTTCATGCACGGAAAGAATGATTTTGCTGAAGTATGTACGAATTTGGAGTAGTTAGATACAGATTTGAAAATAATTTTGTTAGACCATCAAAGTAATTAGTAAAAATTATTTATTAATCTAAACACAATTCTTTTTTTTTAGATTAAAATTCTTTTATTATTTCGATTTGTGTGTCTAGCTAAATTTTTAGCTAGACGCACTTCAGTGAAACCATCTTTCTTGTGTACCATTAATTATCGAATGCGACAAGGTATGATGTCGCACACGTGAAAATTAGCAGTTTTCAAATTGCGTTTTATTGAAATAATAACTAACAATGTAATAATACAACCACATACGTGCATTTCCCAAGCTGACGTTATTTGTCGTCATTTTAACGTCAAAATGCGTAGCTGTATAATTTTGTTAGTTATTATTTTAATAAAAATTTTAATAAAAACCATGAGCTTGCTTTGGTTGTGATATTCTCGTCTCTTTCACTTTAGTCTAATTATTTTCAGACATTCAAATCAATCGAACAAATTTTCGTTAATTTTGCGACCGATTTAAACGCCCGCATCGACTATACGCGTGAATTTTCGTTGAAACTTTACACGACACTGATCAACCCTTTCAACCCTAATAGAAGATCTCTCGAGTCATCGAGCGTCAAAGGCTTGAGACCGGAGATCACTAAAGTGGCGTTTCCACTTCTCGGCCGAGCACGGCCTACCTGTGGCTCTCATCTCTCGTTTACCCTTTAATTCACCTTCCGCGTAATTATCACCCTCTCAGCTAGATACCTCGCGTGAAACCGGCCCGTTTGCGTTCATAGTTTTCACTCACCTAAGCGGCATATTGAGTCATTCCATCGGCGTACAGATCGTAGTAGCAATCGTTAGCGGTCTCTCCTCGTCTCCGGAAATCGAAGGAATCGGTTGAAAACTTTCCCGATTAGCGATCGCAAAAAGACCAATTAATCGTATTCCTCTTCCTTCCGAGCACTCGCGACAATCGAGCGAAAGTTTTCGCGAATTATCGGCGAAAAACGCGAGTCGCGCTCTAGGATAAAATGACGCGATCTCGACGGTGGCGCCAATTTCCAAGGTCGGGTCGCAAGGTCACAGCCCTCTTCCGTACCAAGCCGGCCGGCGCGATCGGAAGTGGCGATCGTGTCGAATTCGCGCGCGTGCCCGTATCGAGCGCGAGCTCTCGCTGCGCGTGCTTGCCACCCCCCCGGTTCGTCCTGCGTCTCTTTCCCTCTCACTCTTTTCTCTCTATCTCCGAGCCAAGATCCTTGTCACACGCGCACGGTGCCCCCACGATCCGCACCACGGTCCACCACTCACTGACAAGGGTCCCTTCGTGACACTTGCTACTTCCTTCTTGATTTTTCTCCCTCTCCCGCTGCTGACTGCTCTTCTCCTCTGCCGCCTCCGTTGGCCGCTCTCTACGACGCGACGTCCCCGTCGCCGCTTCGACGCCTCGTGGTGCACGTCGCGACGCTGATCACCACTCGGAGCGACGTATCGACTTGACACTGGATTACGTTGCTGACGCTCGTGTTACGTACTACTGTTTTCCCACGTTGCCTCACCGTGATCACGACTCACGTACGACGATTACGTCCAGGCGGTCGCCAGGCTGTTCCAGATCGACCGATGTCGTCACGTGGCTCGAGAGGAAATTGTTACTCCGAGAACCGATGACAGAGCCGGAGTGTCACGTGGCGGTGATGCACGATGACGCCGGTATATCGTGTTGACACTCGCGGTCGATCGCGAACTCCGCGCTGGTGCGCGTCTCCGTTACGTATAACTGCTTCACTGTTTCTCCAATCCTCTCCGTTCACCCGTTCTCTCGTGACAATCACTTCGGGTTCCTTCCTCCTCTCTCGGCGTGTCGATACTTGGTGACGGAGAACAATGACCTGCGCGAGTGATACCTGCTCTCTCGGGCTTGGCAATTATTATCGCGACACTTGTCGCTGATATTTTGTTATGCACCGAGGATAATCCGAAGAGACTTCTTTTTCTGAATCGTCGAGATGACGTTATCCGCTTTTATCTCTCGCGTGCTCTTCTTCTCGCGGAGTTCTCACGCGATCCACTCTTTGGGATCGTTTTAAAGTGGCGTCAATGGTTCCCTCTTTCTTTCTGTTTTTTTTTTTCTTAATTGTCAAATATCTTTCCTTCGTCTTTTCCTTTCTCGGTTTGCCAACCGTTCTTACCTTGGACTCTCGGAGTGGTCGCGCGGCGGATCATGGAATTCCGTGCGACAAAGCGCGAGAGGGATCGCGAGTGAGCACCGGTGCGAACGATCGCGCCGACACGATGGAACAACAGGCCGGGACCGGTGGCGGCTGATTCAAATTCGCTCCCCACGTGGCGGCGACGGCGTCGTCCCCGAGACTGCCGCCGGTACGACGCTCGGCGCCGGTCAGTGCGTCGCCATCTCACGGCCCGGCAGCCAACCGGCTCTATCGCCGTGAATCCTCTTGAAAAACGTCGCCGTCAGCATCGAAACTTGATGCAACCAGTCCTTGAAATAAGTATAGAGTCATCTCTATTCTACATGCATGTGTAGACCAATGCGAATCCACAATCCTCCTCCACGAACGCTTATTTTGTGCAAGGATCGGGTAACTGCTTGGTGGTACCAAATGCTAATTTCAGAGATAGCCGTACTGTGAAATAAACGCGTTGAGAATAAGCCAACGGTATAATAATCAAGATTACGTTTGAGAACGATTGCAAATCTGTGCTGGAACTTACTGGAATGTGGCTCGATGATTTCAAAGAGTTAGTGTTTGCTCGATGAGAATAACGAGGGAAAAATTACGAAAGACTATTGCGCAGATAAAGAATTCTTGCGAGGCAAACTTCACGAGTGCGCAAACAGAGAAATAGATTGCGAAATCCTCTCAATTACATCCGAGTTTACTGTAGGATTAATTGCCACGGTAATTAAAGAATTTTAAAGCCACGCGAGAGATGATTTCTAATATTTCTTTATTTTAACGCGTTATAAGACGATATAGCAAAAAAAAATACTATAATAAATATACAAGATAAAATATACGATATCCGAATATATTAATCACATCTACGCAAACTTTGACGATGAGGAAGGTGTATATGTCAACGTTAACGTGCTGATATCGCCCGCATCAATTTGGAGGATGTACCATCAGATCCGCCGCAATGTCAAGGATTTATCATCCGAATTACATTCGTATGGTCTGTAATACGATCTAAGATCCAGGTCATGTTCGTAAAGCAAATCTTAATGTGGATCACTTCTGAAGATGTATCCTATTCTCTGAACCGATATTGCGTGATATATGTCAATTTAGATTGAGATTATTTCATAGAATATTACTATAAAATAGCAATTGATACTAAAAGATTATTTAACTTAATAAAATATATATATATATATAT